CGCAATTGTCGTTAGTACACCCTAACCCCGCTTTACGTCGTTTTTATTTGCAACGTGCAACGCGCTCTGAATATTCTAAAATGTTTAACGTCAATCAAATAATGTCACATCTTTATACTGTATGACTCATATAGTGTAGTTGTAGCATTATGTAACTAAAACTAAATTATTTACTACTATGCTTGATGAGCCTGCTACTTCATATTATAAACCCCGCTTTACGTCGTCTTGGACTACTTGTCTTCTCTTAATGAAAAGTTTTTCCATTACGATTTTAATATTTCGTTCGTAATATTGAAAATGTAAATGTGAAGATTGTCAATACCATGAAATGTTTGTTGAAAGTTTCTTTGGTTAGGAAACACTTGTTAAAGCTATTGTATCTTCCTTTTTTTTCATCATTCTGTGAACTATTTTAGGTAGACAAGAGTCCAACAAAAGGCCTTCTCCCACGTACTTCTTTTCTTCTCGTTTCAGAAAGAGAAAATTCGTAGTATCGTGTGGCAGCTGAAGGTTGAATTTCAGCTACCTGAACTAGGTAAGAATTTATTTGCCAAACAACCTGCTCTAGAAGGAAATAATCCCAAAAGGACGTTTCGAAGTCAACAAGAACGCGAAGACTCGAAAAGGAATGCAGAGCAGCGTACAGGGAATTGGAGACGACAAAATCAAAAAAAAAATATGTAAGAGTTACATTCATCAGAATAATTAAGTCTGATGAAGAAGGAGAGTAAGGATAGTAAATAATAACTTCCTCTTTCTGCGTACGAAGAATTAAAGAACATTAAAAGTGGAAGCGTGTCGGGGGGGAATCGATTCCTTTGCGACCGTCCATTTGTAGAGAGAGCTGAGCCCTAAGTGATATTGCGCACACATAAAATTTATATGTGCATAATAAAATCAAGCGGAAGGGTTGTACGTGTGCACACGAAAGCACCGCATGAAGAATAAAAAATAAATAAAACGGGCAAGGAAAATGCACAAGAATCGTGGGGGGAACACACACGGAACAACAGCACAGGAAACACGAGACGATTTCAACAAAATTTTATCTACCTGAGATTTACATCGAGTTTCTTCTGTAGAATAAACAAAAAAAAGTATATACATTCAATATGCTCAAAGGACGAACTTAATTTTACACTTCCATAATAACATATTGTTCGAAGAACCCTTTCGAATTGCTGTATAACAATACAATCTTCAAACGCGTGTCTTTCGATTAAATCAAAGTGAGCACAATGCAAAATTTCTATTGACCTTGAAACATTGTTAATATCTTGTATATCTATAATAATGTTGCATTTACACTGTGTGAAAGACAATGTGTAAATATTAGTTAGTACCAACTTAGAAAATTAGTCAAATTACTCTGAAATTTAAGTCACATGTCATAAAATTACTCTAAACTTTTGATAGATATTTATGTCATATGCAACATTATATCAATTCAATAGAAATAAGCTAAATAAATATACAGTATTCGCTTTGAAAACTTCTAAATAAACTAAGTACATAAAAACATCGGTTTTATATAATCCATTACCCGCACTATGCGAGGTTTTGCTGTTTTCGATTATTCAAAGTAAAATTATGTGTAGTTATTAAATTAAAAACTTAGATAAAAATTAATTTGTCTTTCAAACTAAATTAGAGTTAATTATTGAACAATAAGAAAAATTACAAAGAAAAAAATAATACATACTTTTTTTCAGAGCACGAAATCTTGTTAATTCGTTCATTTGAGCATGGTGATTCGGGAACTACGAGTATAATTTCAAAGAGCCATTACTCCTTAAAAGCGATCATTATTGGCCATAAAAAACTACATATAATGTGATTATCTTTTTTTTTTCTGAAAATTCCTGTAATTAAAAACTTTATCGTGCGTGTGATAAAAAGCAGTTTCGGAGGCGCTCGAAGAAAACAATGAGAAAGAAAGCGAAAAAAGAAGTAAGGTAATTGCACATATAATAAAGTCATTATATAGATGAAAAATAATAGAAAAAACTGTTTCAGCGAATGCAAGAACCGAGCAAAGTGGATCAAATAATTGTGTTAAAACAATCTTTTCGTATGTTGGATTCAGTGGATTCTTTAATTTATTTTATTGTTGTAGGTATAATAAGAAATTTATATAATTTATTAAGAAATAAATACAAACATTTATATAATTTCTAAAGAAAGAATCAATATAATTTCATGTTAGTTTTAGAAGTTATGCTTAGATTAATAACCAATAGAAACTGATGAATTTAAAATTAGAAAATCTTGAGGATCTTAATGAAAGTCAAAGTATAAATTAGATATGAAGCTTCAGAAGAAATCTATTCAATTAAGATCATCGGGTATTTCTAGATATGATACAAATCTACAAAATTACTTAATAATTGACAGCTTCAAAATTGATGGTTTGAAAATGCAAAGATCCAAAGGCAATTTCAGCGTGCAATACTGGCCTTCATTTGAAAAAGGTTCTTCTTTTTTTTTTAGAGAAGGTGAAGAAGTACAGTTCGGGATATTTCAGGTAGAGCCATTATTTCATTCTCATTATCGTTCGAGTTTTGGTTCAGTTCAAAGAATTTCGAGCTGAAAGAAATTATGCGCGCTCGACTCGAAGCGACGCTCTTCAAACACACACACAAACCATTCTCTCATTTCGTTTTACATCCATAACCCGTGAATTTCATACAAAAAAAACCTCAATTTTTATTTTACATTACATAAAGCAATGAATAAACCTCACCTCGTTTCATGAAAAATTATTATTTACAATTGGAAAATATATTCAATTAATTTTCTTAATACTATTTATAATAAAAATTTGATTCTTACGGCTTATTATTGTTTTGATGAATACCGCAAAATGATATATCCTATTTAAGACTAATAAAAACTAATAATAAAGCCACAATTGTCGGCAATAAATTGTAATGAAAAAAGATGAGAGATATAAAAAAAATATTTGTCTGGATTAGTCCATTAATATAAATTACTGAGTGTGATTCAACCGAATTTCTGAAGTGGGTTTTTAAATGGAAAATAAGCGAGTCTCAAACTCGGTATTAATAATCTAATTACCAATTTTATAGCGTCGCAACTGACATTTTTTTAAACTACAGTTTTAATTAATTTTTCAATTAATTCATATATACGACTTTTCTTTATAAAATATAAATAATTTATAATTATAGCTTCACATTTTTATTGTATAATCAAATGGGAACGAATTTTATTCATTTAATAAAAACACTAGTTGATAAAATTTGAGTTAAACTTGTAAATCAATTTTATTTGAATTTGAAATTTTAATTTGTAATCAAATAAGTAAACAGAAACAAAAAATATATAAGAAATACATTTCTATATCATTTATATTTATATAATTTTATAATTGTTGACCATGAAAAAACAACATAATTTTATATACCAATTATAAAATTGATGAATACTTATTTTTAAACAATTTTTATATAGTATGATTCTTAATTACGCTAAAACTTTGATAAAATTTGTTTCTTGTTATAAGGATTAATTTTTTAAACAAAAATAATCATTGTTTACATTTAAAAAAAATATAATTGTAAAAAAGAAATTAACTGATAGAAATTAAAAATCTAATAAATATTTGATTAATGAAGAAATAATAGCTTCCAAATATATGTTTGTTTATGTATAAATTAATTTGTCAAGTTGTTTATGTAAATATTATGTTAATATGTCGTTAAAAGTTGTAGTTTTTGTTAGAAGAATTGACTTCAGATTGGATATGTGCATTGTGTATAAATAAATTATTAAATTTGATTATAGTTCTATGAATTTTTACTTTAATAGTAAACATAAATTAGTTAAAATGTAATTGAAAATGAATAAACTTAAATTCAATACGGTTTTAGACAATAGTAAATAAAAAGAAAGGAAGTAAAAAGTCGGCTATAAAAGATGACAAATGTTGACAAGACGGTGAAAATAAAGACGAGCATTATTTATATTATTGTAAAAAAATGCATAAATTAGATCACAATAAACTCCATATGAATGAAATATTTCGCTGCATGTTTATTCTATAGTAAATATATAAAAGTAAGCAAAAAAGGAGGAACAGTAAAAACTTGTATCCAAATATCTTATCTTTTGTAAGTGCTGAAACATTAGTGAAATGCCGATAAAAGGAAGAAGCATTTAATTTATGCTTTCAATAAATGCATACATTTTTATGACTATAAGCTTTTGAATGAACCATTTAGGTTTTATTCAATAGTAAATAATGAGAAGCAAAAATAGTCGGAAATACTGTAGTCAAGGTGAGTTTTATTGTATGGTTATTTCCGAGTAAACATTAGTTTTCAACCAAAAGTGAGAAAGAGATAAAAATCGATTAATGCAAGATTTTTGTTTGCCTGGCTTTGGGAACCTGTTTTTTTTTTTGTTGTAGGTACGTGTGTATATATTCATGTATTCCATTGATGATTAAACTTCGTCGCTATCAGTGGACGTTATCGTGAAGTTATTAAATCATATAAAGTAATTACAATGTTAATGTCGTGGCTTGTATTTCACGTAGCCTCCATACGTGTAGATGTACGGTTTATGGTCAATAATGATAATGGTCGATTATAAAAATATATGAAGGGGGAGAGGTGAAAAATGAAAGAGAAGAAAAAAAAAGATGATTGGTTGCTGGAATAATAGATTGGGATTGAAGGCGGCAATTTCAATGGAATGGTCTCTTGGCGTGAGGAGGGACCGCACGCAGGCGAAAAAATGTGGCCTTCGGGGAAGAAGAACAACACACACACACATACAGCAACCCAAAAAGAAGAAGTTGAGGATGAAGGATAACCGTTCTAGGTAGACGGAGATGAAAACGTAATATCGGCCGATGACATTTTTTACATTTTGTTGTTTACGTTTTAATTAACTTTTTTGGATTGCTTTTTCTGTTGTTTGAAACTGTGATGGGTCGAAGGTATATGGGGGTGTTTTAAACAACCACTTACCGCGGCAGATGGGTGCCTGGCGGGGGTCGGGTACATGGCTTGGCTTGTTCAAACCACGCTTGTTCACTTATATCACCGTAAATACATCACTGTACCACCACTTGGTAAAACACTGTACGCACACCCGGATGACCAAAAGATCTCTTTTCTTAACGTATTAATCCCAACTAATCACTGCAATCTTCTTAACAACAATAACAACAAACAACAACGTATATGTTTTTCTCTGATCACTGTTTTATATGTTTATTCACTTGTCTGCGCTTCCTTCACAACTCACGGTCGGTCCTTCCTCCAAAAAATTGGCGCTCAAACTAACGAGAATGCAACAACACCTAGGTTTTTCTGTGCTCACTCTTTCTATATATATATTTTCAGGAGCGGAGTAATCCAAACGTGTCGTGAGGCACCCGCGATCGTCGCATTCTGATTCAAATTTCACAAAAATGCCAACCTAACTATTCGCACTTGTAACGCGCACAATCCATTGTTCACGCCGAAGAAACGACGCGCCGATTCACCAATACACATATACACACGACGGTATCCAAGTCCTGGCTCATCTGCACAACCCCGCGGCGGCGGGAGACCAACAGAACCCACGTGGTTGTTTGGTACATACGTCATCCTGAGGGGAACCAATCATGCGCCCTCCGAAGACCTAACCACGCCCACCGTGTACCAGGCAGCTGCACTTCAAGTCAACGTTGACTGCTTAACCAATTTAACCAGTCCGAACCATACCGCGCCATCTCTCCACAACCACCAAAACCTATCTATCATATAACAGTTTCCTAGCCGCTCGTTCACAGAGCTTCGACCGGGCCTCGCGAACAGTTGTCCTTCACCGAGATCTCCTCGTTCCGCAGTTGTCCATCAGCTGCAGGCTGCAGCGGTAGCTGTTAGCGATGTTGGTGTAATAGCCTCCATAGAGTACACACTCAGTTTTCGGGCTTTGTTTTTCCCAAACAGGAACCAGTTTACTCACTGTGCACGGAGAGGTGTTTTGCCAATTGGACAAACAGACCATGGATTACAAGAGCGTCGTCTACAATGCGGCGCGCGATGGCAACCTTAATAGGCTAAAGGTAAGGGACCTATCGTCGAACTAGCCCAAAAGGACAATGCTCGTAGGGTGCATAACAAAAACCTTATTTTAACCAATCGATCCTCACCTACAAACCGAACAAAAACATCCCATTTTTTCGCAAATCATTATTTTATTTTTTGAATCCTCCTTATCCAATCCATAAAGTAAAATATGGAACACTTCTCTCCAATGCACCGGAGAGATTATCATCTTATTCAGCTGCTTAATTTATTATCTCGGCGACAGTGAAAGTGTCAACATGAAAGTCGCAGATAATTTAATTATCTACACAGTAAAGTTTTTATCCATACTGAATAGATATAAAAAATATATATAAGAAACGAATGTACAGGATTTCGCCCGGACGACAAACTAGAAATATTCTAAATTTAAAACTCAATAGCTGCTGATCTTTAAACTTGAACAGCATTCCAAATTACACTAATAAACATAACCTTCAAACAAACAATAAAGAACAAGATTTGTTATTTATGTAATCCTCGTACAAAGAACATTCTTATTTTTATTTGAAAAATTCCCTATTTTTTCATGAAATTATTGCAATTGTTAAAGTACAATTTGAAATATATATATAAATACTAATTCAAATTGACGTTAATCTCGCAAGTTGACAACTCGAAAATGTTTTATTGATGAAGAATTTGAATATAGATTCAACTACATTCTTATACTCATTACATTGCACATTTTATTTATGATTAAAGATTTACTTTGATTAATTAATTTAAAATGTTTCTTTTTTATTGACAATAATTGCAACATCTATTGAAATCTATAAAGAAAAACTACATAATTTAGTACAGGACAAAAACTATAACTTCTTTTAGCTTAAATAATTTAGCAAATCTAACATTTTCAATTTGTCAAATTAAGGTCAAAAAATAATTAAAAATAATAATATAAAATATGTATTGAAGTCAAATTTAAAATAAATGTTTATGTATATTTTTTTTTCTTTGTAAAATTTCTTTTGCAAATAAAATTATTTATTACAGAATTTTCTATTAATTGAAAACTTATGCCTATGTAAGGTATACAATGCTGAAGTTCAAAGTGAGTTTCTTCGATTACTATACACTCGTTATATGAGAAAGTTGCTCAGAAAGTTATTGCTGTTTAAAGGCCAAACACCCACATTTATGTTTATGGTAAAAGCTGTACATTACATTTATTAAGAAAATAATTACAATTGATTTAACTGTCTCTTAATTAAGATCAGAGCTTGAATATTCATTATTTTGCAATTATCTACATAGAATCTAAATTTGCTAGATATATTTAGGTTCAAATCCCAATTAATTTTATTATTTCTATTTACATTTATGTTATCTAGTTAGAACTAATTATCTTTTACATTTTTTTTTGTATTGAAATCTTGATCTTATAAATTTTAGTAATCTTAAGATTTTACATATCTGGAATACTTTCAACGATTAGAATCTAGATTCTAAACAGTACCGAAATTTGTTAATTTTTTTAGTTAAATTTTCAATTTTACCATTATCTCTCGTTATATAAAATTTAGGATATTCAGAAAAGATGTTTCACTTAAAATTTCTTTAAATATTTATGTATTACCACAAGTAACTAATTGTTGAAAACAGGTAAATATTCCTAAATGATCTAAATTTGTTATTCAGTACACGGTTTTTTAGTCCATAAATTATACTTAATTGGCTTCAATTATTTTATGAGCATGTTAAGTTACAGTACGAGCAAACTACAAACACACGAAACAAAAACGAAACAGGTCATTCATTAAATAGCCAAGGTCCAAGCGAAAACATAACGAACGTAAATACAAAGTGTGGAAGTTTTCTTGCTCCACGCGATGAACGTAATAATTTGGCGACACGATAATCTACACCGCAAGCTAATCATTTTGGTTTATTTATAAACCACAATGGAGACACAATGGCTTCAATATGGAATAATACTAGGTTTCCTTCACGATTTCCAAACTCGTTCCCATAACCTAACCCAATAAATTCACCGTTGTTAATACAAAGTAGAATTTTATTTGTTTATTTTTTATTGTATTTGTTAGATTCAAAATATCATTAAATTTGTTTTATTATCGAACAGATAATAAAATATTTGTTGTCACTAACAAATATAATGTTTTTCTCGTTTATCTAATACTCGATAATTTAACGGTGATAATAAAATAATATCACCGTTAGTGAATAAATATTTATGTTTTTGATCCAAGAGGAATTCATTCTATTTCATTTATTTATAATAATAATAGTAGATTAGTCTGATCCATGTCATTGACTATTTAAGGTTTAGTAGAATGGAGATCATATTTGCTCTATCTAGATCAGACACGATTTTCTAGTAGTAGTAACACAAATGCATACAATGCAACTCGAAGAAGGTCAATTAGCAGTTATCTATCGGTTAAGAAAGAAAGCTACCTACAAACGTAGCATGAATATGCATGAAAAATGATAGTCAATCGTGCTTTATACTTAGAAATATACAAAAATAATCAATTATTCACCTATTTTATTACAAAACTTAATTGTAATTAGTATACACTTTTACTTATCTCAAATTTTATATTATGATAATTGTATCTAAACAATTGGTACAAGTAATGTTATAATGATATTAATTGTACCTGAAAAGATCATCGATATTCTATTGTTTAGAGTAAAACCAGTGTTTTATCTGAACCGTGTTTTATATCTACGCCTATGTTCTTTATATTCACATAGTATGTAATAACTCATTTTTCAAAAATATTTCTTTTACATCTATATCAAATAGTACAATATACTGTCGGGATTTTGATACTGTTGGCATTTTGAAAATGTCGTTATTTTGATACTGTTGCAATTTTGACAATGTCAGGATTTTGATAATATAGAGATTATGATACTGATACTGCATTTTGACAATGTCGTGATTTTGATACAGTCGGGATTTTGGCAATGTCATTTGATACTGATGGCATTTTGAAAATGTCGGAATTTTGATACTATCGAGATTTGGATAATATCGGGGTTTTAATATTGTTGTTATTTTAACAATGTCGGGATTTTGACAATAACGTGATTTTGATACTGTTGATATTTTGACAATGACGTGATTTTGATACTGTTGGCATTTTGACAATATCGTGATTTTGATTCTGTTGGCATTTTGACAATGTCGGGATTTTGATAATATCGGGATTATGGTACTCTTCGCATTTTAACAATGTCTTGATTTTGATACTATCGGGATTTTGATAATATCGGGATTATGATACTCTTGGCATTTTGACAATGTCGTCATTTTGATACTGTCGTGATTTTGACAATGACGTGATTTTGATACTGTCAGGATTTTGTTACTGTAGGCATTTTGACAATGCCGTGATTTTGATACTCTCGGGATTTCGATAATATCGGGGTTTTGATACTGTTTTTAACAATGTCGTAATTTTGATACTTCCGGGATTTTGATAGTGATGGCAATGATAATGTCGGGACTTTGATACTATCGGGATTTCGATAATATCGGGGTTTTGATACTGTTGGTATTTTAACAATGTTGTAATTTTGATACTTCTGGGATTTTGACTATGACGTGATTTTCATACTGTCAGGATTTTGTTACTGTGGTCATTTTGACAATGTCGTGATTTTGATACTAAACAAATTGGTACAAATAATATTGATTGAATAATACATTTATTTGATAATTTTTCTTACTACGCTCAATTATTTGTAATTTCTGAAATTTCTGAGTATATCTGTTATGATAATTGTACCTAACAAAATCATACTTATTTGTAACAATTTTCTTATCTATTTTTGTTAACACGATTAATTAATTGTAATTTCTGAACTCTTATAATTATATCAATTATTATAATTGTACCTAAAAAATTATGGCAAATAAAATTTGATTTATTAATAAAACTCTTTGACAATAAGCTTAGTTTCTAACAATGTATTATTTCTACGAAACAGCGGTGTTCTTAGTTCTTTGTTACTAGTTATAAATCATGTAAAGCAATATTTATTACAGCTATAGATCACAGTAAGAAAGTTTTGAAAGGTATTACATTTAAATGCGTATATAATTAGTGTACCCTGATATAGGCCATCAACTACAACAAACTCGTGGAAGTTTCTTGGCTTCACGCAAAATTGCTCAGATCATTATATTTATTTATAAGTTATAGTAAAGATACAATAAGCATTAATAATTATTTATACAATAAGTCCATTATACAGTTCATAGTGAAATTAGCATCAAATAAGAAAAATATTCATTCCAGAATTTAAAAATACAGTTAATTAAATTCCTTAAAAAAGAATATTTTTGATAAATTATTAAAGTGAAATAAAGAACTTTGATACCAGTTATAAAAGCTCGCAACTCAATATAGGATTGCGTAAAATTGTCAATGGGTCGCAGTACAATTACAGACAAATATGTTGAATCGCGAGTTGGAGAAACTCTGTTATTTTTTTAAAATAAAATTACATATGTGTTTTTAATAAATATTTTCAAATTGAATTTTATTTCTATGAAGGCCATTTATTATCAATCCATTTGTAGTTACAACACACAACTATAACGATTATCATGTTATTTATAGAATTGTCGATACATTGAAGTAATCTTCATAATAATTACAAAAATTACTGTATAATTCAAATCTAAACGTATTACATTATAATATTTTTACAGCTAAAATTTTCATTACAGGATTGTTGCAAAGCGCTATTGACCAATGGTCTTTTGACCGGTATTAGTATGAATATATTGTATTTTTTTTAATTAATATATGAAAATTAATGCAGTGAATTAATAACTATATATATAATAATTTTAATATGTTTTGTTTTATGCTTTGGTCAACTTTGATTGGAATTGGAGAGCGCGTAACAATAATTTATTATTTTTATCCTCTCTATGAAATGTTAATGTGATTGATGCGGCTTTTCGGATTTACCGTGAAAATTCAATTGTTGC